ATATGGGGCTGGCGCCCTACTCCTTTGAGCCACAGGGGCCACCTGCCTGGCTATTTTTTTGTTGTAGTTGTCATTGTTATTTAGTAGGCCTGGGCTGGGTTCAAACCCATCAGCCCTGGTGCATGTGGCTGGCATCCTAACCACTGCGCTACAGGCACCAAGTCAATTTATAATTTTAAATTTTATTTTAAATTTTAATATCATAAATACTGGTAGGTATAAACCACATAAAAACTATTTGGGGTTACCAATAATATTTGTAACAGTGTAAAGTGGTCCTCAGATCACGAGGTTTGAAAACTGTTGTCCTAAGGCAACAAATAATAGGAAGTTTTGAAAATCCCAAATATCCAGTTCCACCCATGCATAGCTCAATCCATTTACTCACGGTCAGTCTGCCACCTAACACATTTACGTTATGCCTGCCAGATAAATCTAAACTTTAAAAGACATTTTAATAAAATGTAAGTCCTCTTTGGTGTATTTTTGGTAGAAGGAGATGTAGAGGTGAATTCAAATATGCCTAAATCGTTTGGGTACATTTTCAAAGGAGCAAATCATACTAGTGGTTACTGCTGGTTACACATCCCACCAGGTTTCCTCTTCCTTTCTCTTCCTCCAAGTCATATTAAGTTGTAAAAGAAAAGTAGACCAGAAGCTTTCTTCAGGTTGTATTTTCAAGAGTTGTTTGATATCCAAAAGTTATTTTTTATAAAGGACATTTTAAGACGTAGCCTGTGGGAGGGGAACTGGGTTATATATTACTACTTCTAAAATCGAGAACATGTAACTTCTAAACAAAATGTCTCTAAACATTTTTGTGACATTATAAACTTCTGGCATTTATTTCCGAGCCTGGCCACAGCCCACTGTAAAATGGGGAGGGAGGTGCAGCACAAGACTTTTGCAGTTAGAAGTTAATTAAACGCAGTCTGTAATAAGGAACTCAAAACTCAACAGAGGAAAACAAACTCTCAACATTACTAAAATCAGGGAGGCTTTGAATAACACAACATATTAAAAATCAGCAGAAGCATAGGGATGGATGTACAGCTATTCTTGAGCCAAGGTTGGATAATTTACCACATAATGTATTTTATTACCTGCAGATATCTGGTGGCCATTCAGAACCAGACACGTTTTCCCATCTGGGGCTTTCATAAAACCCTCATGACATGAACACCAAGCAGTTCCAAACCTCTCTTCACAAATATGTTCACAGCCTCCATTCTGATATAAGCAGGGATCTGCTCCTAGCACAGAAAAGAGGCAAATTCACAGATAGGATTGGAGATGAAATGGATGGCACGGATGCAAATCAGTCTACAGTTTTTGGGGAGGGACACTCACCATATCTAAATAGAGGGTATATCAAGAGCTATTTCAGAAGTGTTCCCATAAGGATCCTCTGATTCTAAGATAATCCCAGGATGTTATTACTTTATGAGCATTTGTTGAATATCGCCAGTAATTTTGTTCGAGTTCTTTAGTCAGATGCAATTCTTATTTCCCGACCCAAATGCTAGTCATGCTGACACAGGACAATTGCAAGACAAGAGTGACTGCGGGATGCTGGATGTGTTTGCATGTGTTTACACCTGTCTCAGGCTCCTTTGCTGGCACTCCCAGGGGCATGGAAAGGTCCAGTGTAGGTAGAAGTTCCTGTTGTGGGTATCTTAAGTGCCTATAACCTAAGCATCTTTGAAATGTGGCTGGTAAGTAAAAGCTGTTCAGGAACAAAAGAGGAAATTGGATGGATAAAGCCCAAATTACCAAAACTACCGAACTGGGAGTAAACTGCTAGATTGCCTTAGTTTAAACAAAGTCCAAATCTAAAAAAAACAAAAACGAAAAAACCTTAACATCTATACAGATCAGGGGAAACTACAAAATTCTCTCTGACCCAATTCTCCAGCACACCAGCAAAAAACTAAAATAGTCACAGATTCCAGCCAAGGAAAGACTGTGTAACATGTCCAGTGTACCTGGTTTTGCCAATGGATGAACCACAACCAGTGATGAGGGCTTCAGCATGCTGCCTCGGAGACGTACCCTGTTTTTGCCAGTCCTCTTGTTCACCCTTATTACCGATGGCATAGCCCAATCCGAGAACCACACGTGATCCTCAAACACAGCTACAGCAAATGGGCGACCTGGAAAGAACTCAAATCTATTAATACACCTTCACTGTCTTTGAAAAGAGTACTTACAAAAGAACGGGGATTGAAACTTACATGCAATTTCTATGTAATTGAAATTACACAGAAATTATATATCTTGCTAACTGCTTATCCAGATATAAGCCATTGACCCACACTAGCATCCAGGAGGCCCACATGATGAGGGAATCTCATTCTGGAATGGAAGCCTGGGGGTGTAAGGTCACAGCAAAACCCATCACCACCCAACATTTAGAGGGTGGGAGAATGTGGGCTGATTATCGTACTAAAGGAAGAGGCCCACTGGTAGATTAAACTTGAGTATGTTGTTTTACTGCTCTTTGACTTGGGTTCCCTTGTCTTCTGAATGGTGGTGACAAGCAACAGAACGTTGTGAGGATTTTTTAAAATTTATGGTCATTGACTATGTCTTCTAAATTCCCATCTCCACTAGCATGTTTCCCTGCATTAGTCCCCACCTCCTTTCTTCTCCTCTTACTTAATACCAGTCTGTTGACCAGTGTCCCTGGTGTCACCTTTCCTGCCTTCTCTAGAACTTTGATCCATCAACAGTCACTCCTTTCTCTTCACTCTTCATCCCACCATTCTATGAACATCCTTCCTTTATTTCTTCATTCCCTTGACTCCTCTAGCTTTTCTGTGTCTCCTTGTTTCCCTTTTTAGCCAAGTTTTTTGAAAGACTCATTTCTTATCTGCTGCCTCCATTTTCATGGCTCCTATTGACACCAATGTGGGCCTCCTCCTAGCCCACCTCAACCAAACCCACCTCTCTGTGCCACTGAAACTGCTCTTAGAAGGTATCCAAGTATTTAATAAGCAAGAAAATGTTTTAATATACTATCTCAG